GAAACGTCAGCAATTGAGTTCTAATAAATTCTATATTAACAACCTCGTGTCTGCTTATTGATGAAAAACATTGAATTATTTTTTTTTATTTTTTTAAATATTTTTTTATCAATATAAAAACAAAGAATAGTAACACCTCGCGTTTGCTCAACAAAAATACGAAGGAAATCACTTGATCAATGCCGAGGTTAATAGAAAGTCGGTCGTGGGAGTTACATGTGTTTATATTGTTGAGCTTACACGAGATTGATAAAGCTATTTATTCGGCTAACGTTTGGACGATTTCGTCTCCATCAGCGGCGATGATCCGAGTCGATGGTCCACAGTTGTTCGTGTTCTCGAGGTGGCGTCTTCGTCGCCTATCGATCTGTGTCCTCCTCGGTTGAGCATCACCAATGTGCCATGTCCACCCACCGATTCTCTTTTATACAAGGCGGTTGTTTTCATGTTGCTATCCCTTGATGATAATTTGTTTTTCAACGGATAATCCGTCCTGCTGCAATTGATATTGTTTTTTTTGAGATGCTTAACTGAGGAAGATCCAGTTCGCTGCGAGACGAAGACGCCACATCGAAAAGAGGAACAATTGTGGACCATCAACAAGGATCGTCGGCTGTGATGAAGACGAATACGTCGAAACGTTAGCCGAGTGAGCATCTGGTACCGGCCTCTTCGAAGTCCAAAAATATAAACAAAAAGTCGGTATTATGTTAGGTAGCACAGCGAATAGCAGAACAGTAATTTTGAAACTGACCGTCGTTTAACCTCGGTTGTCAAATAATCAACATGAGTTTATTTTGTTGAGCTTACACAGCTTACACATCAAATGGTTGATTTTCAGTTGCAATTTCGGTCAACATTTTGGGAGCCACCGAAACTAAATCAAATTCTGCCATACTAGGGGTATAGGTACGATTCAGTAAGTTATAGGGCAACCTCTGTACTGCATTAGTTGCCTTCATTGTAAGATACTACTTGACAGCTTCACATTTCACTTCACAGAAGACATTTCAAACACTAATTGCCACAGACTCTTGGTGAAGTTTGACGACAAACATGACGACTGCACCAGAATTTCCTCCTTTTACTTCTGAAATGTTGTGTTTATAACCACTGATCAACAATAATTTCGAACCTATCAATTTCGAACCTGTGAATGCCCTTTCCAGAGGCTCACGTGCTAGCCATCAAACGAATGGAGCTGCTTTCCTTGCCTTTATCTCAGCCATATTTTTACTCTATCGTTTCAGTAAGCAATGTCCCATCAAGAAAAATGATCTGGGAACACAAATCGTCATTGAACTCAAGGTTAAGCTGAATTTGCAGACGAAATCGCAATCTCTCAACTTCTGTTTACATTCCTTTTTTTCACGGAAGGATGCGATGTGAATTACAACCACAAGAATGCTGAGATATGAACAATTCCTGGAACATTCGAACTTCGAATGTTGGGGTTCGAACTCGCAATTACTCTTGCCAGGGAAAAGAGGATTAGGTGGTAAATAGAAGCTAAGACAATGTTATTTCGGCTACAGCTTCAGATTGATTGGATTCACTTTAAGTCAACAGGCACAAGTAACACCAGCGACCCCATAATGCCGAACAGTGCACGACAGTGAAATAAGTAGATTTCCAAACTGATTCTTTGCTCACTTTTTCTTTTTTCATTGGTAAAAACACTTTTTATAAGTTCTCACTTCCAGCTACTCAAGCCAACGTCTGTTTCGTGTAAAAACTTAGACAAATTGGTGGATGAAGATTACGAAAAACAAGCCAAGCATTTTGGCGCCCACTATGCAGAAATGTTCAAGTTACTCGGCGAACAAACTGGAATCGCTAACTTTTCCTATACCTACGTTAGTCAAATAAACGACGTAACAAGAGAGGTGAGTCAGAGACAATGTGGATGACGGCTGGAATTCACCTGCGCTACGTTCGAACGCTAAGCACCATGCATTTCTTAGGATGCCGCTACTGAAGAGGCCCTTTAGAAAGATGATTATTGTAACGGGTCTTTGTGCAACACCTCATTGTTGACTCAAATGAAAAAGAAGCTTTAAGCCTTTATTAAAGGTCATGACTAAATAATGTAATGTTGGCTATATAAATTCGTTTTACCATAGTTCATCAAAATTGGAGATGAAGTTCAACATTCACAATAACTACATAATAAGAGAAACCTCAAAGATCTCACAATTATTCAGAATACTCATACAGCTTCAAATTTTTCCCACTAATCTGAAGAAATACTCGATGCTTGCTTCAACCCAAATTTCACGGCAGAACTTATTAGGACTCAAATTAAAAACATACCGAAAGGGGATAACAACCAATATTTCCAACATTGTTGCAGCTCATTCATAATATGAGGGAAAAGCAACCACTATGGATTTTCAAGCGTTGGCCACAGTACAACGACCGCAGCACATTGGACATCATCACAGAAATGCGTCGTGTACAAAGGATCACCAAATTCAACTCGACCGCGAAAGCCACAGTATTGATTATCATTGTTTTTGGGATATTAGTGTTGCATATCTGGTATTTTCATTATAGTTGCACAATCAGCCTATTAACAAGCGAAGTCCGATATAAAAGATGATTTGAAGGTAGGAACCGTAGGACGTTGAAAAGGGTTACGCTAAAATATTTGGGAGTTAGTGGAAACGAAGTGCTTTATACAATGAGATTGCATGAATATTGATGGGAAGAGACGTTTATGTATATAGGCTGATTATTAATATTAGGAAAAAGAAAGTTTCTTTGGTGCATCTCAAAGTTTTTCTTTGAATGCTTAGATGATGGGCGGTCATTTGCTTTACAACTGGTTGCTGAACGCCCAACGAATTACCAACGGTACAATGAAGAAACCGAAAAAAATGTTGCTGTACTCAACGGTGCGCTTTATGAAACAGATTTTTCCCCCTATTTCTTTTAAAAAATGCATACTTTCCTAAAGAAAACCAACAGAGCTTATAATCTCTGAAGAAATAAGTAACAAGGTGTTAACAGCATGACGGCACCATTCTCAGTTTGATGTACGCAATGGGAGTGGCAAATGATCAGCTAGTACCGTATGCCTCGTCGCTTATCATGGAAATCTACAGGAATGGAAGTAATTTTGAAATTGAGGTGAGCCATTTGAAGTACGAAAACGCTGGTGCAAAAGATAGCGGACTTAAACGAACTTTTTGAAAACTACACAGTTTCACTAGTTTCCTTTTTTACGAAAGTTTCTTTTATCCCGAACATTTTTTTGCAGCTGCATTATGTTGTGGAACTGATGTATTAGCTATTTTAATCGATTATTCGATTGATTTTTCTCTTTCATGGCTTATCCTATTATCTTTGATGGAACTGTTCTGATTACCGCGTTACTTTGTACAGCTCGAATTTCATCACCAAGTGTGAAGCAAAATATTATAGAGTGAGCAGCGTTGCGGAAAATTTTACTGAAAATCCTATTCAAAGTGACCACACATGTGAAGCTAAAAATCTGCAAGCCACCGAAGGGTAGCACAGTGTCAAGAAGGATGAAAAAAGTGGTTTTCTTTCCTGTATGAATTCTAAAACACTACGAGAACACCGTGTTTCAGCTTCTATTCCGCAACGACACCGCAAAACAACCATATCCGCTTTCGATCGCCGGTTGTGAGATACCGTGTCCTTTAGAGAAACTGGCGAAGTTAATGTATAACAAGTTGGTAGTCAGTTATGAAGAGCAGCAGGCGGTACGTTACGTGACGTTCTAAATATTTACCATACGAGAAGCAAAAGTGGGAAAAATGCACTATACTTTTCCGTTTCAGTATTTGTCGAAATTAGTACGATATTTACTACTCGCTTAAACTGGCATGTGATCGAAATTGATTATAGTACATCAAGATAATTTAGCCACAATTATGCCGAGATATTCGCAAAACTTGGTCTCTAGTCAGATTTAAAGCTGCGATTACTCTTTCCGGTGGCTAATATGTTACCCGTTGCACCACTCAGGTCCTGGCTTTGCATTTTTCTCAGCCAATCTCTTACCCTAATGGTGCCATCGACAATCACCCGTCAACGGGAATGATCCGGCAGTACAAAATGGCATTCATCACAGCTAATCTGAAGCTATAATCGAAATCAAAATATTTGAACTTCTTATCAACTGCATCCTCCCAACGGTTTACCCTCTCATCGTGATTGGGAGGTGCTTCTGGCTGGGTGTCGGACTGCGATGCACAGCGGGAATTCATCTCCTGGCAGGGTCTCCCAAGCCGAGGAGTTCAGCGTTTCCATCAGGAAACCTAGCCAAGAGTAAACCATTACCAGGATCCACCACTGTCCTGGTATCAAAGTCGCATGGTGGTAAATCTCTCTCTGATCCACAAGGGCTGCAACTGCCCGTGGTGGAGAAGACCTGGGGCAGATTTTGGCCAGGCAGACCTCGAGACTCCAGGGAACCAAAATGGTTTAACCAGCAAATCTCCGAAAAATGAAGATTATGCTGGAGCCCGCACAACCAGTGAGGACGGGCCATTCAAGTATCAAGTATCAAGTATTAACTGCCTATTATTCTGCTTCCTGGCCAGATCTTATGTAAAATGTCACCGCAATGATGCTGAGATATTTTCGGTTAATATTAGTAGTAGGCGGTAGAGAATAAAAGGTACTAAATAGAATGTTAAAAATTGTTACTTCTACTGCAGCCTCAGCTTAACTGGATTTAAAGGT